TTTCTTTCTTTCTTTCTCTTTCTTTCTTTCTTTCTTTCTTTCTTTCTTTCTTTCTTCTTTCTTTCCTCTCTTTCTCTCTCTTTCTCTCTTTCTCTCTTTCGTTCTTTTCTTTCCTTTTCCTTTCTTTTTTCTTTTCTTTTTCTCTTTCTGTCTTCTTTCTTCTTTCTTTCTCTCTCTCTTTCTCTCTTTCTTTCTCTCTCTCTGCCTGCCTGCCTGCCTGCCTGCCTGCCTGCCTGCCTGCCTTCCTTCCTTCCTTCCTTCCTTCCTTCCTTCCTTCCTTCCTTCCTCTTTCTTTTTCTCTTTCTTTCTTTCACTTCAGGTGCATAGTATATCTGGCATTTCTCCCCATGTTATCCCTCCCCACTCCCCACACTCTCTCCCCTACCCCCTCCAGCTGCGCCCGGTGTGTGATGCTCCTCTCCCTGAGTCCACGTGTTCTCACTGTTCAACACCCGAAGTCTTACTCTGTTGCCCTGGCTGGAGTGCAGTGGTGTGATCTTGGCTCACTGCAACCCCACCTCCCGGGTTCAAGCAATTCTCCTGCCTCAGCCTCCTGAGGAGCTGGGATTACAGGCGTGTGCCACCACACTCAGCTAGTTTTTATATTTTTAGTAGAAACAGGGTTTTACCACATTGGCCAGGTTGGTCTCAAACTCCTGACCTCAAGTGATCCATTTGCTTCAGCCTCCCAAAATGCTGGGATTACAGGTGTGAGTGACCGCACCTGGCCAGACTGTGCATTTTTAACCAGCTCCCTGGTGGCATAGATGAGGCTGACATGGGGCCCTCCGTTGGAGCCATGGGGTCTAAGATACTTCACCCCACACCTGATAGACAGGTAGTGTACACACAGTAGATAGAGCTGCTATAAATACTCCTGTTACCTCTATGTTAAGATCAATGGAAATCTAGTCCTCAGATTTTTCATTCCTCTTTGGGCTCCTCTTAATGGGTGAAGCACAGGTAAGCTACCCTCTTCTACCTGTGGAAATCTTGCTCTGTCAGCCAGGCTGGAGAGCAGTGGCGTGATCTTGGTTCACTGTAACCTCCACCTCCTGGGTTCAAGAGATTCTCCTGCCTCAACTTCTGGAGTAGCTGGGATTACAGACGCATGCCACCATGCCAGGCTAATTTTTGTATTTTTAGTAGATATGGGATTTTACCATGTTAACCAGGCAGGTCTTGAAATCCCAGCCTCAAGCGATCCATCCACCTTGGCCTCCCAAAGCACTGGGATTACAGGCATAAGCTACCATGCCTAGCCTGCTTTTCTGGTGTTCTCAGAAGGGAGAGTCTGGAACATCCTAGTAAGCCATGGCTGGAGAATATAGTATTACCCACTGAACATAGAGATATTAGTGATTCTTGCGATGCAAATTGTGGCTATGTGTTTTTTGAGAGGTTCCTTAAATAGTTTTTTAAAAAAATCAGAAGTCATTTGAAAGGAAAGCATCCCATCTTTGCTCTCTGTGTGAAGATGCAGTTAAAGTGCCCCACAAGGAGGCAAATAATGACTGTGACTGTTGATAAACATCTATAAAGAGAAATGTTAGGGAAGTTTGGGGAAGGGGGAGAGAACACCATTTCTAACCATAACAGAGTCAGTAGTATTAGACTAACCTCCTGGTAAAAACAATAAAAGCTGGAAAACATACACAATAAACTGTTTGAAGGTATTGAAATGCAATGAACATTGGCAGGACCAAACATGAGGCAATCCTCGAGAGGAAGAACCCACTGTGGGGAATCAGCCTCTTTCCTTGATCTTTTTTTTTTTTTAAATATATATTTTATTGCATTTTAGGTTCTGGGGTACATGTAAAGAACATGCAGAATTATTGCATAGGTACATATATGGCAATGTGGTTTGCTGCCTCCATCCCTATCACCTATATCTAGCATTTCTTCCCATGTTATCCCTCCCCAACTCCCTACTCCCCACCGTCCCTCCTCTAGTCCCTGCCCACAGACCTCAGTGTGTGATCCTCCCCTCCCTGTGTCCATGTGTTCTGATTGTTCAACACTCATCTGTGAGTGAGAACATGCAGTGCTTGATTCTCTGTTCTTGTATCAGTTTGCTGAGAATGATGATTTCCAGGTTCATCCATGACCCTACAAAGGACACAAACTCATCGTTTTTGATGGCTGCATAGTATTCCATGGTGTATATGTGCCACATTTTCCCTGTCCAGTCCATCATCCATGGGCATTTGGGCTGGTTCCAGGTCTTTGCTATTGTAAACAGTGCCGCAGTGAACATACGTGTGCATGTGTCCTTATAATAGAATGATTTATAATCCTTTGGATATATACAGAGTAATGGGATTACTGGGTCAAATGGAGTTTCTGTTTCTAGGTCCTTGAGGAATCGCCACACTGTCTTCCACAATGGCTGAACTAATTTACACTGCTACCAACAGTGTAAAAGTGTTCCTATTTCTCCACATCCTCTCCAGCATCTGTTGTCTCCAGATTTTTTAACAATTGTCATTCTAACTGGTGTGAGATGGTATCTCAATGTAGTTTAGATTTGCATTTCTCTAATGACCAGTGATGATGTGCATTTTTTCATATTTTTGTTGGCCTCATGTGTGTCTTCTTTTGAGAAGTGTCTGTTCATATCCTTTGCCCACTTTTGAATAGGTTGGTTGGTTTGTTTGTTTTCTTGTAAATCTGTTTTTGTTCTTTGTAGATTTTGGATATAAGTCCTTTGTCAGATGGGTAGATTGCAAAAAATTTTTTCCCATTCTGTAGGTTGCCGTTTCACCCTAATGGTGGTTTCCTTTGCTGTGCAGAAGCTCTGGAGTTTAATTAGATCCCATTTCTCTATTTTGGCTTTTGTTGCCAATGCTTTTGGTGTTTTAGACATGAAGTCCTTGCCTATGTCTATGTCCTGAATGGTTTTGCCTAGGTTTTGCGGTTTTTATGGTGTTAGGTCTTATGTTTAAGTCTCTAATCCATCTGAAGTTAATTTTATTATAAGATGTCACTAAAACTATGTAATTTCTTAAGTTGGGAATTGCCTGTTTATTCACCATTTCACCTCTCTCTCTGTGCCAGGATTTAGTAGTCTTCTCCCAAGGGTGTCTCTGTGCATCTATTAGGGCTATTTCATAAATAAGTTTAAAAAGCGTTGTGCCATCTGTTATTTAGCTTTGTAATGAAACTTGAGGAATATAGAGATGGAATTGAAATTAATGATATGGGTATTCAGTGTAGTTGGTATTTTGAATTTATATCTTAAACTGTTTTTATTCACTCTTAGTAGAATAGATCATCCATAGTTTAAAAAATATATATAAAATATGTTGGAAATTTAGTTGAGCTCTTACCTTTTGTGTATCATCCAATAAAATGATTATATTACCAAAAACCCTCATTGTATTTTTTTCCTGTATATACTTGGCATACTAAAATGGTTAACCTCTCTCTTTGTAACATAAAACAAACAGTACATAGTCCTTTAACGAACAGATTATAGGATCTAACAGTCTAATCCTTCAAGTATAACATTAAATGCATATTAATTAATCTAATGCTGAATTTGACTTGCGTGTTATCCCTGCTTAAGAGAAAATTAACACCCAAATCTATCTTTCAGGCAGTAACAGAGAAGAATTTTGAAACAAAAGATTTTCGAGCCTCTCTAGAAAACGGTGTTCTGCTGTGTGAGTAAGTATTTAAAATATTTAAAAACTACTTCAAAGGCAAAAATGTGTGTGTGTGTGGGTGATGAGGGGTTTGGCTCCGCCCAAGGCTACCATAGTCACAGAAATGTGTTCTTGCTCACAGGTGAGATTTGATCCCTGCAAATTGATACCTCACAGTAGGAAAGAGTAGGAAGAAGGGGTTATCGTCTCTGTAGCTACAGATAGCACTGGTAACATATGTATCATTTTTAATTAGTAAACAAGAAAGATTTCATTACATGGTGGGCCAGTAGGGGGTGGGTGGTTGATAAGGAAGCCTTACAACATTTTACCATTGATCTCTTAGTCTGAATAATCTAATGGGTAGAATTGCCTGGTTTAGAACTTAATACACAAAGTCTTTTCTTCATCAATCAATCGTGACGATTGGAGTGGTTGATTTTTCTTTTTAGCTTTAAGTGGAGTCATTATCAAAATCAATTTAAGGACCATTCATTCAATTAATGGATACCATTGAGAACCATACCCTAGACTTTGTTTACAAAGAAGTAAAATAGGCTAGTAACCATGAATGATGGTATAAGACCTACGTTGGATCTGTAGTGTGATATTTTGTTCCCCAATGGATGCATTGTACAGTTAGCCAGGTTTGCAACCTTTGGGAAGAAGGGAGAGGCAGGCCTGTGGACCAAAATGATGAAATCCTGGAGGAAGGCAGTTGTTGTAGAAGTGAGCAAATAATTTCTAAGAATGTACTTAAGTACTCACCCGCATTTTTGAAAGCACTTAATATGTCAATTTAGACACTTATCACATAGGCATTTATGCTATCTGTCCACATTTAAGCAGTGAGAGTGTATGCACTAGTACTTAGAGATTTTTTTTATCCTTTTGAAGGAGTTGTTTGCAGGAAAGGTCTGGAATCAAAGGGCCTAGGTTAGATTTCTTGCTCCATTACTTTTGGACCTTTGAATAAGTCACTTCACATCTTTGAACAATTGACCAAGTGACTTAACATTTGAGCCTTATTTTCTCATCTGTAAAGTGGAGATCAAGGTACTTGATGTGCCTAATTCACAGGGTTGCTGAGTTCAACAGTATGTGTATATATATTAAGGTTTTTATAAACTATCAGACTTGGTATTAATACAAGTCGTTGCTAGAGGATGGGCATGTAAATAACAGTCTCTATCTTGTCAGTGCTGTTAGCAGGTGTTCAAGCTTCTTTGTCTTAGGGTGATATTATTAATTTGTTCCCTATGAAGTTGCTGGTATTTAACCACTTGTGACTGACAGAAATGTCAGTTTCATGTGGTTTCACCTAATGTATAGCAGGACAGACTCATGAATAAGGGTCAGGAATAAAGTTTAAAGTGTGTTTCTTGTCATCTTCCAGTGTCACATTCATGGGAGTATGAATAGTGTTTAAATTAGTTTGACAATGAGTCAAATAGTGTTTAAATTAGTTTAAGTAGACCACGTAGCCCAATTGGTCACTAATGGGAAGTTATTTTCTCTTAATTTGAAAACTGTATGATTGAAATGTATTCCAGTAATGTTTAGAAGATGGAGGGGAAACAGTGCCTATTAGAAAGAGGCATGTGACCTGCAAACTACCTTAGCTATTATTTGATATTTGCAGTAAAGAAAAGCCATCAACCATACACCCCACAAGTCTGAATAAGAATTGGGTAGGTTTTATAGGAAGTTTGCCTATGAAGTACAGGGTTTCTTTTTAGATTTACAAAAGCATATATCTCAAATACATGATCTTTTCAAACAAGTCACTTTGTAGGTTATATATTTCCAGTAATGAACTAATGCCCATAATGTTTTAGGGATCCCACTTTTGGAGCATTGAGCCAATAAATAGGTCTTTAAACATGTTTGATAGTGATACCCAGTTTTTTATTTAAAATGCAACTTATATACCAGGCTGAGCTCTGAATGATTGGAAGTGATTTCCAAAGCTATACCCAGCCTGAAAAGATCAGCATAGCGTGACCAGGGAAGATATTCAGAGTTGATGAAAAGCTATTGTGAGCACAGGCAGTACAGGTTAGAATAAATATGTAATTTCTACCTTAATGGCAACAGCAAACATTTGGATGAATGTTTAGAGTTATGCTAGTTTTTTTTGTTTAAATGTCACTTTAATTCTCAGACTTCCAAAGCTCATTCTAATACTGTTTTCTAATTGGAATAACACCAGTTGGGAGTTTTGTGCATTACCACATAAGTCTAATCAATCTCTTAGTACCCAGTATTCTTTAATGTTTCCCAAAAGTAGCGTAAGTAAATCTTAAGCCATGGTAATCAGCAATTGTAATTTACTGTGGGATACCAAAGTACTGCATAATATCTTTACTAAAAAAATCTTCCTCTAAATTGTGAATCGCATTGTTTATTGTCACTGGTTAATGTTGACACATTCATCTAAAAACTGTGGTGGTAACAAATAAAAAGTCCAGATAACTAGATTGCGTGTGAAATCTGTAACCGAGGAAAGCCTGGCTGGTTGCTCTATGAAATGGTTAAGCAGGCACCATTGTTTGTGGCCTCATCCACCTGCGTTTTCTGTATAACGCCTGGGAGGAAAACAAGGTCAGCTGTTTGGAGGTCTGGTATTACAAGCCCTGACTTTTTAATTAATGCTAACTAGAGTAAACTATTTGTCTTTCAGGATATTTTACCCACTGCAGAGCCCAAGTGTTAGCTGAAATATGATTGGGATATTTTTAAAACCCGAATTCATTTTCATACAGGATAAGGCTGACTTCTATGTGGCTCACTGCCAGAATCATATTTCTTGTGAAATATAGGTTCTGCTTGTTGCCTATTAGAAGCCTCTAGGCATTCTCATTTATTACCACCATGAAAGAGTTTTTTTTAAATATTTCATTCAGTAATTTCAGCAGTTTTAAAAAAATCCATTAGTAGTACACTTTCCTTTTGAACTGGTGTTCTGAAATATCAAAGTGAAAAGTTCAAATAACTTATTATAGCTTTCAATCAATTGGAAGTGTACTGACATTTCAGATAGTCTAAAGTGGGGATAAAGTGTGCACTGAGGTTTCAGACAAGATATACATTTCAGTAATGAGGATGGTTATGTGTGTTCATTGCCTTTTAATCTAATTGACTAACGAAGTTAGTATCTTTCTATCATTTTAGTGTCATTTAGTTTGACTGTGGGATCTCGTGAGTTGAGGGTTAAAGAATACTCCCTTGATGAAAGTATATGGTCGTCTCTCTTGGCTTTCCTAAATAGTGAGTTGGGAACACTGTCTGATATTTTGGCTTTTCTAATTAATAGAAGGATTGACAAGTGTGTATAAGGTGATTTTAGGTCTTTGTTATAATGTACTATGAATTTTATTAGTAGTGTTCTTTTTTTTTTTTTTTTTTTTTTTGAGACGGAGTTTCGCTCTTGTTACCCAGGCTGGAGTGCAATGGCACGATCTCGGCTCACTGCAACCTCCGCCTCCTGGGTTCAGGCAATTCTCCTGCCTCAGCCTCCTGAGTAGCTGGGATTACAGGCACGCGCCACCATGCCCAGCTAATTTTTTGTAGTTTTAGTAGAGACAGGGTTTCTCCGCATTGACCAGGATGGTCTCAATCTCTTGACCTCGTGATCCACCTGCCTCGGCCTCCCAAAGTGCTGAGATTACAGGCGTGAGCCACCGCGCCCGGCCAGTAGTGTTCTTTAATCTGTCTTCTATCTTCCGTATTTGTTGGTGTTCATGTGGACTGCCTTATATATATTTTAAAAATATACTCCATCTCAAAAAAAAATACATAAAAGATGTGTCACTTCATCACTGTCCATGATCTTGTTTTACCCTGGGTTCTAGCAGAATTACTCTTCTTCTCTAAGCATACTTGGTTGAGACATAAACAGCTGATGATATCGGTAATTTCCCAGTTACTCATCTTATGATGGCAATCTTGGAAATATTCAAATGAAAACACTCTTTTTTTCTCTGATGAAGAGAGAAGATTTGCTTGATGATAGTCTGATTGGGTGTGTCACTGGTTAGTCAGTCCATACCTCCCATCGCTGAAATGATCCCAGGTCTCTGCCACAGTCAGCCACATATCAGAAGTTTATGCCTTTTCGAACACATGGCTCACATTAAGAACACTGTCACCAGGTCTTCTTTTCTCTTTCTTGCACCTTGGAAAGACAGGAGCAAGATGTTCACCCCTATTGGTATGAGGGATCCTGTTTCTATTTGTATTAACCGTGCGACCACAACTATCTGCCTAAGAATACCGTAATATTTTATTAAAGATATATAACATACATTCAGTTATATATAGATATATATATTTTACAAGTACTACTGTTTACTGTGGGGCACTCAGATGATCATTTTAAGGCATTGGGTAAGATAGAGAACGTTGTCGCTTGTCATTCCTGCCAAGAGAGCTCTATCTTTTTGCTGGAGTTGGAGATCTCCACCCACACATAGAGTGCTGGTGATAAGGTTAGGTCCCTGGGGCTTCTGCGCAGTGCTCCATGGGAAGCCCTGAGGCTTTCAAGTAGTGGGAAAGGCCTTTTTCCTTAGAGGTGTTTCTGGTTTTGAATTTCCTAAGGACAGTTGCTTACATACAGCGCTCCAGCATGCCATCACTATTTATGACCCTGATCTGTTTTTATAGGCTTTTGAAATTTTGTGAAAACTGTTTTTCTTTACTATCAAGTAATATAAGCTTTGAAGTTTCCATGTTACATGACCGTCCAGCAATAGGCAAACAATGGTGCACGGGTTCAACTTCATAAAAATGATTGTAAAAATGTTAGTGTGCTTTCTCTCCATGGCAGTGTTTTACAGTTGAGATCTGCATGCCTTCTTTTTAAGCATCATGGTTCATTTCACCTGTGATGTAATAGCTATACCTAGCAAAAACATGATTTTTTTTTCAAAGAAAGAGTATATCAAGTTAAAAGTCAGCTTGGCAAACAGCAACTTAAAAATTCACTTCAGTTATAATAGACACACTCTAAAGACTCATTTC